CAAGAAACTTCAGCAGCAAATTCTTTTCCGAAGATTGTGGGGACAAGTGCGGGAGGCAGGGCGAACCAGCTTTCGACGTCTTGCTGCTGCTGCTGCTGCTGCTGCTGTTGCTGCTGCTGCTGCTGCTGCTGCTGCTGGTAGCTGCGCAGCAGGTCGAGCTGCTGCTGGTAGTGGTCGGGCAGCAGCCCTTCTGCTGCTGCTGCTTTCTGCTGCTGCGAGACAGCCCTGCAGTCGAGATAGGAGAGGTTGGTCAACAGGGAGAGGATTCTGCGGCTGCTGCTGCTGCTGCTGCTGCTGCTGCTGCTGCTGCTGCTGTCCTGCGTGAGGGGGTTGTTGCTGAGACACAGGGCCCGCAGCTGCGGCAGCAGCAGCAAAACCCCCAACTGCGCAAAGTCCGAGATGCTGTTGTGGGCAAGACACAGCAGCGAAATGCTGCAGCAGCTTTTAAGAAAGTCCAAGCTGCTGATTCTGTTGTGGCTCAGCAGCAGCTGCTGCAGCAGCGGCAGCAGCGAGAGGCCCCCCACGCTGCTCAAGTTATTGAAAGAAAGATCCAGAGACTGCAGCAGCAGCAAATTGAAAGGGCCCATGTCCACTGTCCGCAGCAAATTGTTCGAAGCGTTCAAACGCTCCAGCCCTGCAGCAGCAGCAGCAGCAGCAGCAGCAGCGGAAGCAGTAGTAGTCGTTGGCGAGTCAGCAGCGGCAGCAGCGGAGTATGCTCTTCGTGGCAGCAGCTGCTGCTGCAGTAGGATTGGTGGCTAGCTTCTTAGCAGCAGCAACAGTAATAGACGATTTAGCAGCAGCAGCAGCAGCAACACAAGTAAGTGTTAAATAGCAGCACCAGCAGCAAAGCAGCAGCAGCAGTAATAGAGCAGGGGCAGCGGCGCTCAAGCCTACACTGCTTTGCTGCTGCTGCTTCCGCTTTTGCTGCTTCCACTGGTGCTGCTACAGCTGCTACTGCTTCTGCTGCTGCTTTTGCTGCTTCTGCTGCTGCTGCTGCTGCTGCTACTTTCTGCTTCTGCTGCTGCTGCGGAGAGCCTGCTTAGGCACGCCTTTCTGCCCCCAAATGACCTCTGCTGCTGCAGCTGTTGCAGCAGCAGCAGCAGCTGCAGCATTAGCTGCAGCAGCAATTTAATTCTTTTTCTTTTTTCTCAAAGTTTTTATTAATTTGGCTTTGGCGCTTACTGCTGCTAAGCTGGGGTGTACGTACACTGCATTTCGAAAGCTCCATTTTCATTTGCTGCCATTTAATTCGTGGAAGGGCGAGTGGCAGATCCTAGGGTTTAGGGTTTAGGGTTTAGGGTCTAGGGTTTAGGGTTCAGTGTTTAGGGTTTAGCCGCTGGCTACAGGGGGGCGTGCCCGACCCGAATTGATGCTGCAATTGAGTTTGGTTCGATTTAATGGATATGATTTAATTAAATTAAATTAATTAAATTAAATTCAATAATTAATTAAATTAATTTAATTTAATTAATTTAATTTAATTTAATTTAATTTACTTCGAAAGGTCTCTAAGTTGTTGAGCCGCACGAGGCTGCGGTTGCTGAGGTCAAGGGCCTTCACGTTGGGGAAGTCTGCAGCAGTGACTGCTGCTGCTGCTGCTGCTGCTTCTGCTGCTGCTGCTGCTGCTTCTGCTGCTGCTGCTGTTGCTGCAGCGTCAGGTGTACAGACAGGCCTCCGCGGGGGGTGTACCTCCACTGCCCCCGCACACAACATTTCCACCCCAACAACTTGGTGGTTTGCTTCGGGTTCTTCTTCCTCTGCTGCTGCTGCTGCTGCTGCTGCTGCTGCTGCTGCTTCTGGGGCCTCTGCAGCGCCTGCAGCAGCTCCTGCTGCTGCTGCTGCTGCCGGCGCGTTGGCCTTCGGGGCCTCCTCCGAAAGCGCAAACGTCACCGTCGACTTTCCCCCGGACGACTCCATTGCCGAAAACCCTAAACCCTAAACCCTAAACCCTTGTTCTGGGCTCTAAGCCCTAAGCCCGCAGCTCTAAACCCTAAGCCCTACACCCTACAGCTCTGCGGCCAAGTGCACGCAGCTAGCATGCTGCTGCGCCGAGAAGACCGCCTGAGCAATCTCTAACCTAAACCCTAAACCCTAAACCCTAAACCCTAAACCCTAAACCTCGAAGCTGCTAGGCCGGCGGGCGCTGCAGCAGCTGGAGATGTCGGAGTGTCGCATTTGCGAGGCCGCAGCGTTCTCCTCTCTTTACTTCTTTTTTATTTTATTAAAAGTTTAAATTAAAATAATTAAAGTTGAATTTGCTGCTGCTGCTGATCTAGAAGGATCACAGATGCGCAGCGATGCGCAGCGGGAGCTGCGGTGTCTTCCGGGCGCCTCTGGGGTGTACGGACAGCTCGCAGCAAGGACGCCACTCAAACTGCGCTCATCTTTTCAATTATTTATTTCACTTTATTAATTTTTAAAATAAATCAACAATTAAAAATGTTCTGCATGCGCTCGACTCGCAAAGCGCGCTGCTGAAACCGCTAGCCTGCACACAGATACGGTGCTGCTGCTGCTGCTACTGCTGTTGTTGCTGCTGCTGCTGCAACGGCAGCTGCCGCTGCTATTTTTGTACACATTTAGCCCAAATTAATAGTATTTCAATTTATTTATTATGTGACAGCTTCTCTGCCTCACTTCAGTGCGATAAGCTATCGGCAAGGTTCAGTCTCCTTGGGGGCGTCAATCGAGACTGCTGCTGCTGCTGCTGCTGCAGCTGTTGCTGCTGTTGCTTCGCTGCAGTCATTGCTGCTGCTTCCAGGCGTTAGCCTCAAGTGAGAATCAGCTGCGCAGCAGTTGGCAGAGCTGCAGCAGCAGAAGCAGCAGCAGCAGCTGGCGCAGGAGCATCGCGGTCTTGCCGGTGGCCAGTGGCAACAGCGGCAGCAGCAACAGCAGAAACAGCAGCAGCAGCAGCAGCAGCGGCTTCCATTCGTTTCTTTATTTGTCTACCGCTTAACGCCGATCCTTGGGGCAGAGTTGCTTTCGTGTGCACGCGCAGCAGCAGCAGCCGCAGCCGCTGCTCCTGCTGCTGTTGCTGCTGCTCCTGCAACTCTTGCTGCTGTTGCTGCTTGACGAGTCGTTTCTGCTGCTGCTGTGGAGTCCACACAGCAGCAGCAGACCTCTGAAAGGCTTGGGTTCACCCATTCGCATTCGCGTAGCGCAACAACAGCAGCAGCAACAGCAGCAGCAACAGCAGCAGCAGCAGCAGAAGAGACACAAGCAGCAGCAGCAGATGGGGCAGACGGAGAGCACGGAGGAGACACCTCCAATGGCGGAGGTAGCAGCAGAGGCCCCACAGAGTGAGAACCCTAAACCCTAAACCCTAAACCCTAAATCCTAAATCCTAAACCCTAAACCCTAGCAGTGAGCCCTAGACTCTGAATGTGGAGTCTTTGTGTCCGTCCTTCACCCTTTGCTGCTGCACATGTGTCCCCGTTTTTCAACTGCAGCAGAAGCAGCAGCAGCAGCAGCAGCAGCAGAAGCAGCAGCAGCAAAGGGAGCAGCAAGAAAGGCAGCAGCGGACAGCTGGGGTAAAAGAGACTCAACAGCGTCAGTGGCCTCCACCACAACTACAGAAGATGCAGAAGTAGCAGAAGAACCTGCTGCTGCAGAAGCAGCAGCAGCAGCAGCGGAACCTGCTGTTGCTGCTGCTGCTGCTGAGGACAAGAGGCCCCAGGCAGCGGCAGCGCTCAAGAAGCAGCAAGGTGAGTCCTAGCCACATCCACTGCAGCAGCAACAGCAGCAGCAGCAAGTCTGACGTGCTATACGCGCAGCAGCAACAGCAGCAACAACAGCAGCAGCAGCAGCAGACAGCAGCAGCAGTAGTGGTGCATGAAGCTGCCTCATCGTCCTTTTCAGCTGCATCTGTGTGGGGATGCAGGAAGCAGGGAACAGCAGCAGCAGCTGCAGCAGAAAGAGCAGCAGAAGCACCAGCAGAAACAGCAGCAGCAGGAGCAGCAGAAACAGCAGCAACAACAGCAGCGGATACAGCAGCAGAAACAGAAGCAGCAGCAGCACCAGATACAGCAGCAGAAACAGCAGCAGCAGCAGCAGCAGAAGCA